ATTAGTGTGGGACCCACAAATTAACTAATGTGAGAGGTTGTAAGATTTACGATCATCTAATGATTGTACAAGTGGAAAAATCCATATATATATATATCCCCCTCAATGTGAGGGGTTTAAAAACTTTTGTGCACCTTAAAGCGAACAACTATATTCCCATATATACACACACAGAGGAGAGAAAGAGAGCTTCGCGGTCAGTCGATGATAGCCCTTGGTTGGGTTCCATTTTAATGAAATTTTAGAAAAAATATATTTTTGCGATCCCTATTGTGAGGAGGATAATTGTGGAGAAGAGATGAAGAAGATGAAATGATTTTTGTTTTTTTAGTTTTCATTTTTAATAATATGTTTGTGACTCATTTGTAATTTTTTGAAAATTTGAAATTATGGTTGCAATTAGTTCTTTATTTTTTCTTTTCTTTTTGTTTTATTTAAATAGGAAGTATATTTGTCATTTCGTAGCTTTTAATCGAAAAATGCATGAAAATGATTATTTCCTCTATGTAATGTGGAAATAAGGGTGAAAACGCTAAAAATGAAAGGTGGTAATGTTTTACACAATAATATTGAAAAATTGGATTGTGCTAATTACCCTATATACGCATCTTACATTATGTTTTCAAAATGTGGTGGGTGGGAAACCAATTTTTTTCAAGCTGTTCAAAGATATTGTGTTTAGTTTATGTTAAGCACTAGGTGACAAGTACACTATAATAGGTGATGCAATCTATAACCAAACATTATGTCTCACCTCTCATATCACCTCGAATGTTTAGCATAAACTAATCTCCAATTTCCAAAAAAATAAATATTTACAACATAAATTAAACTTATTAAAGAAGAAGAAAATCTTGATAAACCCCTCAAGTGAGGAACATCAATCGAGAAAAATATTTTGAAAAGAAAGTAGGTTGTGCAAAATGTATTTAAGCCCATGTTTGAGGTACATTAAATTTTTATTATCATTCTTCTACTCATTTTCAACCACACATTCTTTAATAAAATAATATTTTCCATCACATCAATAACTTTTCTTTCCTTTTCAATCATACATTCTCTATCAATCTATTATTCCAAAATACATTCTTCCAAAATAATATGGATCAAACACAACCAGCCATTGTTTGAGCCCATTTTTCATCAAAATGCATTTTCGAATAGTGATTTGACTCCATTTCAACCATACATTTTTTAATAAAATAATATTACACACAAATCCAAAACTTTTTCATATTTTTGAACTACACATTATCCAACATACCGCAATTGCAAAATCCATTTTTTGAAAAAAAAAAAAAGAGGGGCTCAAACAACCCCTAAAAAAACATCAAATATATATATTTTTATAGAAAAGAATTGTGTAGCAACAATAATAAAGTATTATCAATAAATACCAGTGTTTTAAAACCTGGTTCGACCCAGCCTAATTGGTTCAACCAGAAAAATTTGGAACCGGGGACCAAAATTGGTCCGATTAGGCTCATAAAACGTCTAATTAAAAACCCGCCCCAAAATATTTTTTAAATTTTTTGTAAATGTATCTATTTTAATTTTTTAAAATCATCGGTTTGATTCCGGTTCGATCCCGTTTCGACTTTTTGACCTTGATAAATACTTGTCTCATTATTCCAAAAATTTATTATTCTCTCGCTTATTTTTAACCATACAATTTTTCATAAAATAATATTAAACATAAATCGAATTTTTTTTTTTTCAATCACATATTTTTTAAGAAAACATTATTCCAAAAATATAATTGCTACATGATGGAGGCCAAACGGGGGTAAAGCATTTTGATGAAAAAATAAAAATAAAATTACTACAAAAGTCAAATTATCTAATGGTATGTGAGAAAAAATCTTTCCTCCCAATTCTTCCTGTCCACCAAAAGGGGGAGAGGAGGAACACGTCAACATCCTTATCTATACGTGAGAACAAACTCCCGCAAGTCATTTGATACGTGTGCAAAAAAATATAACTTATCTCTAAACGTAAAAGAAGTAAAAAAGTAACTTTAACTGAAATGGTAACTTATAACACTTATAAGTAAATTTAACTTCGAATCATAATCCAAACAAGCACTTTGTTTTAATTGCAGTGACAATCTAACTAATTTTTGTTTGTTATTGCCATTTAATTTATATGATTTGGACATATCTCATCTAACTAAATAGAAATTTTTGTTCATAAAAGTAACATGACCGAAAGAAAAGATCGAGAAATAAATTAAAACAACTCGATATATCGTTATTATCAAGATTCACTTATTTTAAATCTTTAGAAGATCTGGCAAAATGAGAAAAAATAAATAAGGAACTCCACCAAACACACCCTTATTCTTGTGAGTCTCGCAAGAAAGTCCTGGAAAAGAAGATTGTAGAGAAGGACCATTAATAATCAGCATCATATGGGTCCGACCCGACCCATTTACCCCTTCTCGAACCCACGAAACATTCTTCAATCATTAATTCGCTTTCCTATCTTCCTCTTCCTACCACGAACCTTCTAGAAACAAACTACTCCATGGCTACACCTTCAGTACGTGTTGTGTCTTCAGCTTTCATGCGTTGGTTTGGCTATTGAAATTCAAATCCTTCAAGTGTATTGGATTTTTAGTTTGAAGAAATTAAAGCGGGGTTAAAGACTTGCAGTTTTCAAGCACCGGTAATTAGAAAGATTATTTTCAGATTTGTTTTCATTCGAACAATTTAATAATTTAGCGTTTCAGTTTTCTTCTTGTTCTTCATGCGTATTTAATGGAATAAAGGATAAATTTGTAACGTCTAAAAATGCTGGTAAATGGTTAATCAGTTCTGAAGCGAATAAAAAAGCTGAAATTTTCGGATTTTTACCTATTTATTTGGATTTTTAGGTTCTGGATCTGTTTTATATGAACGTGGCATGTCGGTAGAACAGACAGGAGAGTCGACGGCTGCGGGCGGCGGAGTAGGAGAGTCACAGAGGTCTGCTCCGACGCCGTTTTTGACGAAAACCTTTCAACTGGTGGACGATCCGAGCGTCGATGAGTTGATCTCTTGGAATGAAGATGGTACAGCGTTCATAGTGTGGCGGCCTGCTGAATTCGCCAGAGATTTACTGCCTAAATATTTCAAACACAACAACTTCTCAAGCTTTGTTCGTCAACTCAACACCTATGTAAGTCTCTCAAAAAAAAAAAAAAGAAGAAGAGCAATTATATGTGAAATTTGTAATTGCATTATTTATAATGCAATGAAAACTATTTTATCCTAATTAATCGGGGTGAATTTGCAGGGATTCAAGAAAGTAGGACCGGATCGGTGGGAATTTGTACACGAATGCTTTAGAAAGGGCGACAAGGGACTCTTGAAAGAAATTCAGCGACGGAAAATCTCAACCGGTGCAGCAGCAGCAGTGGGGACAGCGACAGCAATCGCAGCTAACTCACACGCAGTGGTGACGGCAACCTTGATGGTAGGTTCTCCGGCGAACTCTGAAGACGAACAAGTACTCTCTTCGAACTCATCGCCAGCCGCTACGACGGGGCTACGAGCTTACACATCTGCAGCTGAGATTAGAGAAGAAAATGAAAGGTTGAGAAGAGAGAATTCACAATTGAGTCAAGAATTGGATCGTTTGAGGAGCTTGTGCAGCAACGTATGCACTCTAATGTCCAATCATGGTTCAGGAACGTCGACGGAGGTAAGAGCTTTGGATTTGATGCCGGTTGAAAAAGGATACGACGGCGGAGTGAAGGCGGCGGATGAGGAGGAAGGAATTAGTCCGATGATATTTGGGGTTCCAATCGGTGCAAAGCGAGCGAAGAGGGATGAAGATGAGGAAGGGCAGAATCAAGTGAGGCGGGACGATCCGGAATAAAATCTGAGCCGTGCGATCTTGATAGTAGTAAAATGTCATGGCCTTCCATTCTTGGATTAGTGCTGCGGGGACCACAGTGGATAGATAAAACTAACAGGTATTCCATTTGATTATTCATCCAAAATGTTCTAGTTTGGTTATCTATCGTGACCGATGGTCCCGTTGAGGTCCAAAAGTGAATAAGTAACGTGTCAAAATTGGATAAGATGGGTTCACCGTTCAACCAATAATAATCCTCTAAACTGTATTTTTTTAATTTAGTTACGATAAAGGGCGGCAATTGTTTTGGAAATCATCGCGTTTTTTAATAAATAAAAATAAATGATAAATGAACTAATAATATTCGTGGGTCTCACATGAATTGACTTTTAGTAGTGAAGATGGACTGTGATTTAACGCACGACTCTCATTTCGTTACTCCACTGATCATTCTTCTCAATTCTGTCTGCAAAAACTAACGGCAATTAAACATGGATGGTCGGTTAAAATCAACTGCCAACAAGTCGAATGTTTGGATTTTGGGTTTCCAATTCTAGTAAATTGCAGACATGCCGGTTAAAATCAACTGTTAATTGGGACAAGTTGGCCAAGTCGAATGTTTGGATTTTGGATTTTGGGTTTTCAATTCTAGTAAAATTGCAGACATGCCCTTAAAGGGGTTCTAGTTTCAATTCATTCATTTGGGGTTGCAATTTACCCCGCGCGGCCAGCTTGTCTTTGTTAATAGCTTCTACATTGTCACATAGGAATTAGGATGCCATCCATGTGAACGTTGCGTTAGTTTGTACAATTGAAATTGAGAAGGTGTTAAGATTCATTAATCCAATTCAATTTAATGAGATTTTTTATTCACATTTTTTTCCATCAAGTACCTTTTTTTTAGAACTCTTTGACCTCGAATTCAAGGTTAAATTTTAATCAATTTTTCGAAGTAAACCAAATACAGATGTAATATTGTTGAGTGCTGCTCGATGTTGCTTACATAACATGCAATTATTAAGTAATTCTGATCTTAGAACGAGAGCTTATATGATTATATTTGACGATACGATAGCTCAAATGATTGGCCTATCACTAGACCCTTGTTTGATATCCATTTTTTAGGGAAAATGTGTTTTCAAATAGTGATTTATTGGAGAATATATAATTAGAAAATAGGGAAAAAATTTAAAGTTACGTGTAAAATTATTTTATAGAAAAATTTGTGACTGAAAATGAATTTTGAAAAAAAAAAAGGGAGAGATTCAAGCACGGGCTATATACGATCATTTTTCACCTTGTTTAGCGTTGTTTGCAATTCTATGATTTGAATTCATAGGCCTCAAACTTTTTTAACTTTTTGAGAGCTCATAGTCTAGGACTCTAGGAAGCGAACCTTAATTTCTCGAGAGATCTACGTGAAGAAAGGGGGAGTAAACCGATAAAGTTCACCGTCCAGAATGAAATATTTGTCGGCACCGTCCTCTTACTTTCTTCTTATGAAAAAAGCACGAGAATAAAAATTACAACGTTACGTGAAAAAGTTGTAAAAAGGAGAAGAAATAAAAGCTGAGAAGACTAGTAATTCTTGACGGGGTCCAAGAAAATGGCTCATAAAGGAGCCGTACTGTCAGTAGTGTCATTTGAAAACACAAAGTTTCAGCGCTCAATTTTCTACGAGAGGAAGTTGCCTTGTAGCTATCTCATAAATAATGAAACCCCCAAGAAATTAACCAATACTTAAGTATCATTCATATAAATTCATTTCACATATTTGTATCTATTCTAATTTCATCATGCAAAACTATAGCAATCCCTGTTTTATAGAAATCACTTTGATATCAGCTCAAGATCTCAGAGTAGCCTCTTCGGTTTTCTGCCGTCGCCTCCGGCCGTTCATAACCGTCACTACTTCCGCCACCCTGTACGGTGATAAACAGGTGAAAGTGTACAAAACAAAGGTTGATGATAAAGGTGGTGTAAATCCCACATGGGGCGATAAGTTTCGGTTACCACTTGATCAGACAATTTTTTACCTAAGAAAATCAGGTATTTATCTCCAACTTTACACCAAGCATCTTGTGATGGGTAATACTCAACTGGGGTGGTGTTTAATTCCGATGACGGATATAGTCAACAGGTTAATTCCGGTGGGGTCAACTCGATTCTTAAGTTATAGGTTAAGGGATAGAGATGGTTCCAGGGGGAATGGTATTGTGAATGTTGCGGTAAAGTTGGAAGGAAACCTTCCTACACAACATCCGCCTCAACGGCCTGTGATGATGCCAGAGGGGAATGTGGGTGACATAGTGATTGGAATTCCAGGGAAAATGTTGTCGGAGAGGAGTGAGTTTTCACAAGAGCATGTAGGAGCTGGTTGCTCAAATCGTTACGCCTTTTCTATAGGTAGGTACTGACTCGATAATGTGAGAGTCGAAACCTACCCAACTAGGAATTTTGCTACTTCAAAATCAATGCAATTTAAGGGCAAGACAATTGAGGAAGAAAAGGGATCGTGAACATGATGTATGTTTGACAAAATCTAATTGATTGGTGACGAAAAACGATGCTAGCTGAGTAGCTGCACATGCACTAGTCATATGGAGTCAAAGATATATTCCACATGCAAGTTTGACACGTGTACAAGGCGCTTCGTGCCTGAATTGTTAGCTTATCTATTCAAACATTGATATTTTGCTACCAATGCTACTGTTCAAATATTTAGTACCCTTAAATTATTATGATTCATAGTATTTCGTTTGCTACAATATGCCTCTTTTAGCACAATTAGAACACATAATAAAATGAGACAGGTTTGAATTAAGGTGAAGAAATACTTGTGATCCCCATTTGGAGGGACAAAGATCTTTAACCAGTAGACAGCCTTGATTTGATTGACCCCCCCATGTTGCAACTGTTATATATTTATACAATATGTATAAATATAATATATGAAAGAAATAATCAATTTAGATGAAATGTCTAATTGGTAAAAAGTGTGGAATTTGTGTGAGATGTCGATGGTTTGAGTCACACCTCACGCATTATATTA